AACCTGCAGTTTCCTAAGAGTATATATTTAAAGTAGATAATTAAACAACTAAATTAAATTAATTTGGATATGCAGGAGATATTAAAAAATAAATTTAAATGAAGGGGGGAAGGAAGTCAAGCTTTGGAATGTTAAATTGATTGTAAAACTAATGAAATGTATAAACTTGAAAAGTATAAATAAAACTTTAAAAGAACCAAATAAAATGAATAAATTATTTTTATTTTTTATTTTGTGAATTACTGCCCTCTTTTACAATGATTAATCTCTTCTTTTTGGCTATGTATATGTGCCCACTCAAGTGGGAGAAGGAACGTAGTACCTTGTGGATGGAATGAGTCTCGTATCTTTCAACCTATTATCAGAACGACAAAGAGGAGTTCTCCCTTGCAGTCTAGGATAATAATTGTTCCAAGATTGATGGCATCAATCACTATGGACACTGATGAAGCCTACAAAACACAAGAACTCAGGGCTGTGGACAATGCTAGCCATGCTGAGAGTAGACCTATTGAAATTCATGCACCTGATTAACTTAGATACAGCCTGTCATTTGCCAGTCCTTCCTACATTAGATTTGTTTTGCTAGATATTCCTTTGATTCCAAAGCAAAGAAGTGTGTCTTGATTTGCATTTTATGCCTACCCACACTTGGGCCAAATCATCATCTGGTGCTGAGAGTCAAGCAGGTTAAAAACACCCGCAAACAGTGTTTCCCATTTCCACATTTCATGTTGTTATTGGACATATTTTGCCCTCTATTATTGCAGCATAGGAGTTAAGGCAGGCTTCCTCAACCTCAGCCCTCCAGATGTTTTGAGACTACAATTCTCATCATCCCTGACCACTGGTCCTGCTAGCTAGGGATCATGGGAGTTGTAGGCCAAAAACATCTGGAGGGCCAAGGTTGAGGAAGCCTGAGTTAAGGCTACCAGGTCAGTGAAAGCTACTCAGTCAGAAACAGATCATTCCCCAAAATGACTCTCCCATTCACTACTACTGCAATACTGGTGTAAATTCCAGCCTTCCCATTTATTCTAATGACTTTCCTTTCAAACATTAAGCATTCCTTTGAGGAGGAAGATATGAGCCAGGAAATCCACAAGGCAAGAAAAATGCAAAACAATGTTACAAATGAATTCCAGTTTATGTTTTTGTATCAACCATATATTGCATCTGCACTCAACACAAGTTACATTAATGGTGCTATTCGTAGATCAGCCCTATAGAAACTGCTTACCAATAAATATATGCAAAAACAACTGACAGCTCTGACAGTTCCATTTGGTTAGGGAACGCCTTTTGCTTTCATATATCGTAGCTCAACTTGCAATCAATTCTACTGTTAAACTTTTGCTGCCAAATGGGGCAGATTAAGATTGGGTGGTTCTTCCCTCACCAAACCTCTTTTCTATCTTTATTTATATAACATTTTATGCTGCAATCCTAACCTCACTTACCTGGGAGTAAGCCCCACTGGATGCAGTAGGATTTCCTTGTAATTTATTAATTAGACTTTCCCAGACTCTTAAAAGCAGAGACATCACCTTGCTGACAAAGGTTCGTATAGTTAAAGCTATGGTTTTCCCAGTAGTGATGTATGGAAGTGAGAGCTGGACCATAAAGAAGGCTGATCACTGAAGAATTAATGCTTTTGAATTATGGTGCTGGAGGAGACTCATGAGAGTCCCATGGGCTGCAAGAAGATCAAACCTATCCATACTTAAGGAAATCAGCCCTGAGTGCTCACTGGAAGGACAGATCCTGAAGCTAAGGCTCCAATACTTTGGCCACCTCATGAGAAGAGAAGACTCTTTGGGAAAGACCCTGATGTTGGGAAAGGTGGAGGGCACAAGGAGAAGGGGACGACAGAGGACGAGATGGTTGGACAGTGTTCTCGAAGTGACTAACATGAATTTGACCAAACTGTGGGAGGCAGTGGAAGACAGGAGTGCCTGGCGTGCTCTGGTCCATGGGGCATGAAGAGTCGGACAATGACTAAATGACTAAACAATAACAGACTCTTTGGTGCACACAAAACAATTCCAGTTTCTGTAATTCCAGAAGTACATCAATGCTGTTGCAATTTAGACATTTGACTGTGTTATTTATGAGTCTAAACAGCCCAAGGAAAGATACCAACGTTCATAATATCAGAGGTCTAGAAGTGGCTGTCCCTCTGGAGATCTTTGTAGCTGTTAGCTGCCAGCATGAAGAGATAGCATAAAATCTATTGAATACTGTATGAAACATTAAGAATACTAAATGCCTTGCAGGCATTTACATTCTGCTTTTAAACACTTCAGGGGTGAAGAAAGAAAGTAAGAACTCCACAGGTTTGGGTTGGTGTGTTTTTTAAGCCTTTAAAGTTAATTATGAGAAAACATGCAGCAAGAGCTACATGGTATTTTGAAAGTACAATTAAAGTGAAACCAAATCAAATATCCACTCAATGTGCGTATGCTCTTGAAAACGACATCATTGGCATCTGAGTTGGTGGAGTGCTAGTCCCTGTGCCCCCCAGAGACACTGCCAGTCACCAAGATGGGCTGGAGCATCAAAGACAGATTAATTTTGAGCTGGCTGCAGTGGCCCAGCAGATGTGTTTGCATCTACTGTTGGGATTTCATTCCTTCCCACTGCTGATGTGTGATTGTTTTCATCACACGTCTGTGTTGACATTCCATACTGTTGAAGTCATGAGAACGGAAGTTCAGTTAGACTGTTCCGTTATGTTATGCTTTGTTGAAGTTTGTGAGAAACTGCAGCTTTGAAGTGGACAATTAGTGAGTTGGCAAGAAGCCAAGTGAAACAAGAATACGTGAGAAAGTCTGTTTGGAGATAGGGAAGCCTTGCAACAAGTGGTGATTGGCTAAAACTTTCCCCTTATAAGCAGCATGACACAGTAGCTTGGTGCTGGAGTTCAGAGGTTGGTGTGTAGCGTTTGAATTGAGTCTGTGTATATAGTAACTTGTACAAATCTGTGCTATACTCTGTATATAATAAAAGCAAATACAAATCAAGTTACTGTCAAGCAAGTTATGTTCCTGAGTCGTCATCCTGGACCAGACAGACTAAGCAGCCGTTAGCAGGGAGTTTTGGTTGAGATCAACATGCTTTTGCTTTTTCTGTTCTCTCTCGGACGAAAAGGAGAGCCATGATTTCTTTGTTCTGTAACACTTGATCTTGAACACAATAAATTAGCTTAGTATTCTACACCTCAAGTCCAGCTTCTGCTTTGAACTCTGCTATGTTTGTGTGAGCATATATCTTCGGATATATGTCGCAGTAGTGACTCGGGACAGAAGAGTGATGAATCATCACGAAGGGCACTTCAGAAGGAAAGACACAGTTCCCTGGTGTTTTCCTAACATCCGTATTTTTCGTTCTATAGGGCGCACCGGCCCATAGGACGCACCTCATTTTTTGGGGGGGGGAAATGAATAAAAAAAATTATTCCCCCCCCCCCCGCCGCGGCTGCCGCCCCAAGCCTCGCGTGCTTCGGGCGACAGGCTGCCGCCCCAAGCCTCGCGCGCTCGGCGGGACCTCCTGCCGGGCGCGCAAGGCTTGCAGACACTCACCCGAAGCACGGGGCGCCCTCCGGAGGGCTCCCTTGCTTCGGGCGACAGGCTACCGCCCCAAGCCTCGCGCGCTCGGCGGGACCTCCTGCCGGGCGCGCAAGGCTTGCAGACACTCGCCCGAAGCCTCGCGCGCTCGGCGGGACCTCCTGCCGGGCGCGCAAGGCTTGCAGACACTCGCCGGGGCTGCAGGCTGCTGCCTGCAAGCCTTGTGAGCCCGCGGGAACTCCCACCGGGCTTGCAAGGCTTGCGGATAGCTTCCTGAAGCCTGGAGAGCGAGGGGTCGGTGCGCACCGATGCCTCTCGCTCTCCAGGCTTCAGCGAAAGCCTGCATTCGCTCCATAGGACGCACACACATTTCCCCTTCATTTTTGGAGGGGAAAAGTGCGTCCTATGGAGCGAAAAATACGGTACATCTGTTGTTCCCAACCACGCCCCACAGAGGGGCAATTTGATTTTTAAAGGGGGCAATTTGAGAATGAGTTATTAACAGTTAATGGCCTTTTAGTTAATGGCCTCCACTTGAATAGGAGTTCATTGTTTGAATAATAAGAATTATATGTCGTCGGGGGGGGGTGCATCAGGATTTTAGAGATGCTTAGGTGGGGCATGCCCTCCCCCCAAAAAAAGGTTGGGATCCACTGATCTACATTCTTCCACCACCAATCTGCAGGTCTCCCAACCTCACCACTGTTAGCATGTTTGGGAACGGTAGCTTAAACTGCAATCTTGACATGAATGCCAACCACGTTGTTAAAATAACAATTAGAGGCTCCAAGGCAAAGCGTACGGGGAAAGGGTGAAGTTGCTCCCCTTATAAAGAAGGTTTTCTGTTAAGTGAACCCTGTCCCAAAATTTCCATGATAAGTTTTCCTTAAGAGCAGCCAGATGAGTCATGTTTCAAGAGACAGTCAATGTGCTTCATGGAGATGTCTCTTCACCCATGACCTCCTCAAATTGAAATATTGCAACTTAACTCCCTAAGCCGAATCAGGAAACTTCTGGATTGATCTGAGCCAAATCAGGCTGTTTACATTTATCCTATACCTCGAGTCTACAGGGCTCTCAGTTCTCCTCTGACTGTGAGAGAGTTTAGCAGTAACGGTGCAAAACTTCTTCCCTGTCACATAGCAAATGAAGTATCTTATGTTGATGTTTGACAAGTCATCTTCTTGGCACACAAGCAGGATAATTTTCATGGCATTGCACCATGTGCCTAAGAAATTGCTTGCACAATTATGGTATGCCTCCTATTTGTTTCTTGATATATTTGCCCCCAAAAACAATTTATAACACAATAATTTATGTACAAATCTGTCATAAACAGCACACCCGACATAATAAGTTTAGAATGAGATTCAGGTTTGAAATAGATCATAAACAATAGTAGCCATATATTTACACAACCATTCATAGAAATTGCACAGTATTTAAATACAGCTCATCTTTCAGAAGAGAAATTTTTAAATGCAAATGTTTCCATCCTAAGGAGCGCTGTGCCACAGGCATTTAGAAATGCTTCAGTGAATAACATGCCGAAATACGGTTTTTAACTTTAAATTCAGCTCACAAAGGATGAAAACCAAAGTAATGATGTAAGACAAACCTACTTTGTGGTATTTATGAATTTTTCAGAGGGTCATTCTTATGACTACGTACAGAGCGTAGTAATCTGCAGTGCTCAGAAAGCACTGAGGTTAGTAAAAATAAGTATAGTACTTCTTTGGTGATCACTCGTAGCTGACTAAGATTGTCTTCCATGTACACGGTCTTAACAGTGAGTCCGTAAGTGACTGTGGAGGTCAATTCTGGATACACATTTCCTTCCACAGTGGGGACATAAGTTTCCGGGCATGAGTTGATCACGGTGAGGGGCGGGCAGTCAGAAGAGGAGGAAAGAGCCTTGCCTTTTTCTCAGCCAGCCAAAGGCAATTGACTAAAAAAAACAAAAACAAAACACCTTTTCAGAAGGAGGATAGACTGAACCTTATCAGAACAGTGAGAGCGGGCTGGACGGAGGCCAAGTCTCTGAAGAGCAGCCATTAGTCACCTCAGAGAGGAGGGGAAACTCTTCGTCAGAGGAAGAGGTGGGAGATGACCCTGAAAGTCCAAGGGCTCGCAGATGAACAAAGGTTAAAGAAAGGCGTCAATCAAAGAAGAAGAGGTGGGGGCGCTTTCATGTTTCTTGTTTGCGACATAATTTGAGCTCAGATGCCTCAAGTTCATCTTGAAATACAGCAGCTAGTGTGAATAGCTCTGAGGTTAATTACTGTGTATAATAAATCTTGTAAATACAACTACTGTTTGCTGGTTACCTAAGACTGCCAGTTCCTGACAGCTGGGGTGCAGTGCTGGATTGCCAGATAGGCAGAGTAGGTACCAGCCTATGGGTCCCATGCCCTTTAGGGGCCCCATAAGAATGGATCAGTAGGTAAAGGAGCCCGGATGGTTAAGACCAGTCAAAGGCGACTCTGGGATGTGGCGCTCATCTCGCTTTCAGGCCAAGGGAGCCGGTATTCATCCACAGACAGCTTTACGGGTCATGTGGCCAGCATGACTAAACTGCTTCTGGCACAACGGGACACCACGATGGAAACCAGAGCGCATGGAAACGCCGTTTACCTTCCTGCCGCAGTGGTACCTATTTATCTACTTACACTGGCGTGCTTTCAAACTAATAGGTTGGCAGGACCTGGGACAGAGCAATGGGAGCTCACCCTGTCATGGAGATTCAAACTGCGGATTTTCTGATTGGCAAGTCCAAGAGGCTCAGTGGTTTAGACCACAGCACCACCCGTGTCCTGAATAAACAAGCACACAATCACTGATAGGTCCACCCACCATTGTGAAGCTCAAAGCAATGAAGATGATGCCTCCCCAGCTGTTGCCATTGGCTGTGGGTTTCTTGTGATGTCACAAAAGCCCTTGGCAGCTGAGTGGATATAAAGGTTAAGGGGAAAGCCCTTTTCTGTTTCCAGAAGGACACACCTGGCAATGGATGTGATATTCAGCACTGTCCAGGTTTCTTCCACTTGGAGGAGGCAAAGTGGTGAATGGAAGGAGGCAATCCTCTGGCAGTGGGATGCTAGGGAGCGATAATAAGGCAAGTTTGCTTGCTTGAAAGCTGCTGGTATCTGTGATTGGAAGCTGGCGGACGTCTCATGATGGACCTAACAGTAGCTTCTGGCACAACAGGACACCATGACAGAAACCAGAGTGCATGGAAACGCTGTTTACCTTCCCACCGCAGTGGTACCTATTTATCTACATGCACTGGCGTGCTTTCGAACTGCTAGGTTGGCAGGAGCTGAGGCAGAGCAACGGGAACTCACTCCATCACGGAGATTCAAACTGCCAACCTTCTGATCGACAAGGCCAAGAGGCTCAGTGGTTTAGACCACAGGGCCACCATCGTGCCACTTCAAAAACAGTAGTTCCAGTTTGCACACAATTAGAGCTATACTAAACTGCAAACTCTCACCTGGCTCTTTGATCAAAACAGGTGATTAGTGTAATTATACAACCCTTATGCACAATGCTTTTAGTTATTCAGCCCAGACTCCAAGCAAAACATAAATGCATTCTTTTCTGAGCAGCAAACAGGTGTGAGTATCTTAACAGTACAATCATTAGCGAGAAAAATTGGATTTTGAAAAGTTCTCTGGTGTGCATTTGGATTTCACTATTAAAAAGGGGGGTAAATGGCAAACTTAATTAGAAGGGGGGAAACTGAGTTGCTTCTACATTTTGTCCCATTTGTGTAGATGATTTGCTCATTATGAGCTATTTTTTTTTTGAAAAGTGTTATGCCAAAGGCATATGCCAGACCTCTCTTTAATAAGAAAATAAGATCCATATCAATCACAGTGGTGGCAAAAGTTTATGTAGGTGTGCCCTGTTTTGTGGATACCTTTCCTCACACCAAGACAGATTCGTTTCACTTCCTCCCAAGGCAAGTTTTCAGAAAGCTGAGCTACATCCTCATAATGCCATATGAGAATTATTCTGGGAGCATTCCATTACCTGAAATAGGTGGGGAGTGGATTTCCCCCCCCCCCCCATTCTGTCATTTGAAACTTCTCCGCACATAGAGAATTAGTGCATCAGGAAAGAAAGCCTTTCTTTGCTGAGCTAGATTTTGATGAGCTTTCTAAAATGGCATTGTCTACAGATAGTCAAAGCTTTTCTGTTGGGCAGGGCCATAGTTGGGGGGCGCAGGCAATGGGGGGCACAAAATTGGCTAAAGATTATTGCCTTGTAAGAAATGGTTTTAAATAGAGCAGGCATAGGCAAACTCGGCCCTCCAGATGTTTTGGGACTACGATTCTCATCAACCCTGACCACTGGTCCTGTTAGCTAGGGATGATGGGAGTTGTAGTCCCAAAACATTTGGAGGGCCGAGTTTGCCTACGCCTGAAATAGAGGGTGAATGGAATTAGTGGGGGGTGGGGTGGGTTGAGGAGAGGCGGAAAGAAGAGCTACTTTGTCCGTGGCTAGGGGGGTGCAATCTGGATGGTCCTGCCAGGGGCACAAGATCACCTAGCTATGGCTCTGCTGTTGGGGCAAATGAGAACCCCATCTGTTGGACTTTTCACTTGCATCTGGCCAGGGGGTGGCACCAGGGGAGCCAACTATAGGGGCAGAAAGGGCTTCAGCCCTCTCAATATTTGTGGGCAGGGGGCTGAGACACCTTCCCACCCCCAGTGTTGAAGGAGCCGCCATCCCCTGCCACTGGGCAAGTATATAACTATTATTATTATTATTATTATTATTATTATTACAGGCACATTGCCTCAGATGCTGCAGGTACTATAATAGCTATTATCACTAGTAGACAGGCCTGCACATAGCTTGCCTGAGGCCCAGGGAAGCTGGGAGACACAGGGCGTTATTGGCATGACAGTGTAAGTCCGGCAGGACCCTGGAAGTCCCTACCCCCCAGCTACCTTAGCCCTCTCAGAGGCCTGGGGCAAGTGTACCTACATGCCCACTCTGGCTACATGGGCCTGCTAGTACCCATCTGAAAGCCTTATTCTCTATAGCAGGAGTTGCCAAACCTGGGTCTCCAGCAGTTTTTGGACTACAAATCCCATCATCCCTGACCACTGCCTGTGCTAGCTAGGGATCATGGGAGTTGTAGTCCAAAAGCAGCTTGAGAGCCAGGTTTGGGAAGTCCTGCCCTATGGATTTGTCCAATCCCTCTTTTCAGCCTTTCATCATTATGGCTTGTGGAAGTGAATCCCATAGCAATGCGTGAAGTAAACTTCCTTTTGTGTGTCCAAAGCTCCTAGCCTTCACCTTCATTGGGTTTTATTATATTGAGAGAGGGAGAAGAACTTCTCTGGAGTGAGTGGGACAAACAAAAGTACACAGAAAGCCCCATTTTTCTCGGAGAAAAACAGCATGTCATTGTGAATTTCTGTGATGGTTTCTGGTCTTGACAGATACCACAGGGAAGCTATTTCAGTTTAGATTATCAAAGCATCTTATCTACCAGAATGGGAGCTATATACTTCTTGAAACAATCAGAAAGAGCTCTGGCTAGAGATTGCTTTTGCCTCAATGTTATTTTAATATTCTTTGCATTCCATTTTACTGTCCTGTCACATCATATCAAGCGTAATATGACATGCCATAACATACCCTGACAGTGTATACCTAACGCACAGCAACAGGAGAATGAGATGGAACCCAGCCAGATCTCAGGCTTTTCCTGTATCCCTTCTCTCATTTATGTTTCTCTGGCAAATTAGAAATCTGACGTTTCTCTCCTTGTGGAAAAACAAAGCAACACGTTTCACTCTCAGAAACGACATTTGCCAGGATCGGTTTTCTCAACTCATGGCTTCATTTGATCCTCATATGTGAAAATTAAAGGAACTAGCTCCACAGGAGCCTCCTTCCACGCTTCCATTCTTCCTTGCCTGCAGCTGTTTTGTTTCAGTCTCTCCTTTAAGGAAAACCAATTGCCTTTGTTTGACCACAATGAATTCCCCCTCTCTTCTTAATTCTCAGCAGACATCTGACTTGATGCTGAATGCAAATAAAAATGGCCGTGCTGAATCCTAGCCTTTGCAAGTTACTTCCAAGCCTCCTGTGATTTCTTTTGCTCCAGCCACCTCTTGCCTGCTGTCTGCCATCACAGTGGCTCCCCATCATTCAGTACTGAGCAGGTTATCCTGTTCCCTTTCAAAATGCCAACTGCTCAGACTTCTTCCTGCAATTCAAAAGCAAAAAAGGAAAGAAACCGAATAGGTTGGATTTGCCCTGCCTATTTCCCTTGGGCTGCAGGAGGATAGATGAGATGCCCCTTCTTGTATCTCTTGACATTTTAGTTCAGTTTTAAAGTGAAGGTAGAGCTAATGGAAAATGTAAGGTTGGCTGCCCTGGAATATACAATGTTAATCTATCCACAGAACTTCTATGGCACTTTGAGGAAGATTCAGACATCAGTAACCCCACTGTAGCTTGGTTTTGAACCACCTTCCCTAGGATTCAGAGTACAAACGAGTTTCTGTCTGCCGGAAATCTACAAGCTGCCTGTAGAGATGGTCAAGCAAAGGGACCAATTACTTCCATTTCTGGTGGTCATTATTTTGTGGCATGCAACTGCACCTAGACTTCAGTGTCCTGTTCGACACATGGGACAGGCATCCTCAGAATTCATCAGAGAACAGTGCATCATTTAAATATGTTGGCAGCGGGTGCCCGAATTAACGGTGTGGGTTGTGACATACCAAGGACTGGATTTAAGCGAGCATGTGTTGCTCATGCAGCCAAGAGAGGTTTGGGCTTGTATTTCTCAAGGAACACCCACATATACAGAAACAGGCATGTACATCACATTGCAAATCTCTTCTGAAAGCAGTTTGTGAGAGGGCACGTTATGTCTGCTGTCCAAAAAGAAAAGGGTCTAACATACCCAAGGGACCTGGACATTCAGAGGGGCAAATCTGTCGAGTTTGGTTTCTCTTGGTCTCTCATTTTTCCGATCTTAAATTCAGTTCTCCACATGTTTACATCAATGTGGGGGTTTTAGTTAGGGCTTTGCACAGCTCTCCACACCTTGGCCGCAATCCAGGGTGCCTCAATTAGGCTGATATGCCCTTTTGCAAACATTTGATATAATGTATTTTGTATGGGTTTTTTTACTGATTAATAATAATAATAATAATAATTTATTATTTATACCCAGCCAGATGATGATGATGATGATCCCCAGCCACTCTGGGCAGCTTCCAACAGGGCTGCCTTCAGATGTATTCTAAAGGTCTGGTAGTTGTTTTTCTCTTTCACATCTGGTGGGAAGGCGTTCCACAGGGTGGGTGCCACTACCGAAAAGGCCCTCTGCCTGGTTCTCTGCAACTTGGCCTCTTGCAGCAAGGGAACCGCCAGAAGGCCCCCGGCGCTGGACCTCAGTGTCTGGGCAGAACGATGGGGGTGGAGACGGTCCTTCAGATATACTGGAACGAGGCCGTTTAGGGCTTTAAAGGTCAGCACCAACACTTTGAATTGTGCTTGGAAACATACTGGGAGCCAATGTAGGTCTTTCAAAATCGATGTTATGTGGTCTCAGTGGCCGCTCCCAGTCACCAGTCTAGCTGCCGCATTCTGGATTAGTTGTAGTTTCCGGGTCACCCATTTGTATGCACACTTTAGCATATGTCATTGGTTTTCAGTCAGTGTTCCATGGCACCCTAGCGTGCCTTGAATGATGGTCAGGGGTGCCCTGGGCAACACTGGCCTCTGTCCCTCTTTCCTTCCCTCCTCGGATGCCCTCTCCTCCATCTCTGCCTCCCAAAGGCTTTCATAGCTGTTTGTTGTAGCAGCCCTGGCTATAAGCTCCACATACGAATGGTGCCTCTGGGGCTGACCAGGAGGTGCTTCCCAGGCCCCGGGGGGGGGTGAGGAGGCACCTCTCTTTGGGGAAGGGGGGGTCAGCTCAGAGACTAGGGGTGGTTGCCCAGAGCACTCCCAAGGTGAGGGGAGAATAGAGGAGGCTGAGGGAACCCACCAACAAAGGAGGGCATTCGAAAAGAGGTGAATGGCTACCAGCTCTGCAGGCAAGGGGTGAAATAACTGGACTTCTGAGCCCCACAGGGGTGCCACAGAAAGAATGTAGTTGGTCAAGGGAGCCGTGGACCCAAAAAGGTTGAAAACCTCTGGTATATGCATTTTTGTACAGACTATGTGTCATTGCAAAATCCATAGGAGTAAATTTCAAAGGGTGACTGTGTTTCAGTTCACATACAGTGGTACCCCGGGTTACAGACGCTTCAGGTTACAGACTCCGCTAACCCAGAAATAGTACCTCGGGTTAAGAACTTTGCTTCAGGATCATAACTGTCAACTTTTCCCTTTTTAAAAGGGAAATTCCCTTATTCCGAATAGGATTCCTCGCAAGAAAAGGAAAAAGTTGACAGCTATGTTCAGGATGAGAACAGAAATTGTGCGGCAGCGGCGCAGCAGCAGCGGGAGGCCCCATTAGCTAAAGTGGTGCCTCAGGTTAAGAACAGTTTCAGGTTAAGAATGGACCTCCAGAACGAATTAAGCTCTTAACCCGAGGTACCACTGTCTCTTTTTTTTGGACAGTGAGAATTAGGTAACTTCACCTTAAAAGCAAACTGATTCAAATTTCTCTTCATCCCTACATTTCAGACATGCTGAAAGTAGCTCATGGGATCCTGGTGGAAAAGGCCCACCTCAACACAATACATAGAGAAAAGAGATACATTCACAAAGCTGGGCTGTGCAATCTGAATTTTAGGCACGTCCAATTGACATGCAATTGGTGACGTGCATGTCCTTTTGGGGGGATGCAGGTGGCGCTGCGGTTAAACCACAGAGCCTAGGACTTGCCAATCAGAAGGTTGGCGGTTCAAATCCCTGTGACGGGGTGAGCTCCCGTTGCTCAGTCCCTGCTCGTCAAAGTGCAAGTAGATAAATAGGTACCGCTGTGGCGGGAAGGTAAACGGAGTTTCCGTGCACTGCTCTGGTTCGCCAGAAGTGGCTTAGTCATGCTGGCCACATGGTCTGGAAGCTGTACGCCGGCTCCATCAGCCAGTAAAACGAGATGAGCACCGCAACCCCAGAGTCGGCCACGACTGGACCTAATGGTCAGGGGTCCCTTTACCTTTACCTTTATGTCCTTTTGGACTTGGAAGAGGGCAGAACTGGGGCAGAATGGGGTGAGGCACTTATGCACACTCCACTGAAATGTGGGGAGGGGGAATGGAACCCCCACATGAAATGGCCGCTGTCTGTAGTTTGCTTCCTGCTTTCAGAAGGAGATTAGCCTAAAAGAAAGGATGGCTCCATTCTTGTCACCCTTTTGGACGTATGCCATAGCACCAATCTGAGAGCTGTAATCATGCAGGCATATTATAAGGGAAATTTTGTGGTCTATAGAATGCCAAATCATAGAATACACTCAAGTCATATTGTGCAATGAGCCTTCAGGGACAAGCATCAGTGACTTTGAAGAGAAGAATGTTAACAACACTGATAAAGGCATCCGAGTGGCTAGAGAATACTTTTTGTAGCCTCCCATCTGAAAAACCCAAACACAACTTTTCCAAACGCATCACAATCAGTTATCATATCTTGCTTGCATTCATCTTGCAATTTTAGCTATTAGAATTAACGAGGTGTTTATATTATTTAGATGCATTATGATGCAAATTGGTTTATAATGTGAAACGGATAGCTGATGAGGAATTAGCTGCTAGAAAATGAAGGGAAGCCCCTGAAGCTAAAAGTATCGCTTTTTAATAAACAAATTCATGCAAAGTGGGGTCCAACACCCATTTAGAAAACCTCACAAATGTTATAATTCTGATAAGAAAAGTGAACCTTCACTAAGCAGCTCCTAGAGCTCAGAGCGTCTTTTACCAATTTTGTCCAACTTAACGTCTATGACGCTGTCAGGAGAGCAATAGCATTGCTTCAACCATCTGTGGCCTGATGACCTCCCACTTGAATTATTGCAATGCATTGGATGTGGGGCTGCCTTTGAATGTGTCCCCGAATACTGCACAGAATATGGCAGTAATATTATTAATGGACTGGATATTATGAAAATGTTATGCCAGTACTCTTCCATTTTTGAGTACATTTCCGAGCACAATTCAAAGTGTTGGTGTTGACCTTTAAAGCCCTAAATGGCCTCAGCCCAGTATACCTGAAGGAGTGTCTCCACCCCCATCATTCTGCCCAGATTCTAAGGTCCAGCGCCGAGGGCCTTCTGGCGGTTCCCTCACTGCGAGAAGCAAAGCTACAGGGAACCAGGCAGAGGGCCTTCTCGGTAGTGGCACCCGCCCTGTGGAACACCCTCCCATCAGATATCAAAGAGATAAACAACTACCTGACATTTAGAAGACATCTGAAGGCAGCCCTGTTTAGGGAAGCTTTTAATGTGTGACATTTTAATGTATTTTTAATCTTTGTTGGAAGCTGCCCAGAGTGGCTGGGGAAACCCAGTCAGATGGGCGGGGTACAAATAAATTATTATTATTATTATTATTATTATTATTATTATTATTATTATTTGATTGGCTTCTGTTTCAATTCAGAGTGTTGGGTTTGGCCTTTAAGGCTCTTTGTAGCTTGGGACCTCAGGACTTGAATGAATCCCTCTTTCACAAGGATCCACAAAGACATCTTCATTTCAGGCCCTTCTTAGAATGCCCTCACCAAGTGTTGGATAGCAGTGAGTGAGAGGGCCTTTTCAGTGGTGCCTCCACTGTGCAGGTGTGTGTTATAAAAGGTAAAGGACCCCTGGATGGTTAAGTCCAGTCAAAGGCGACTATGGGGTTGACTCCCCCTCAACCCCACTTCCGTAGTTTCTTATGCATCCTTCCCACGTTGCTGACCTACACACATCCTTCCTTGACAACACTACGCTTCCCCCAGTGTTCTAGCATTCTACAGCCTCAGCTCAGAGGATAATACTTAAGCTGTCATGTGTGTTTTTGAGTACTATTTTAAAAATTTCTCGTATGCCCCTTGTGGCATATGTCACATTCCTGAGAACTTTCTCCATCTCCAACGTTCTCAACTTGACTTTCACTTTTTCTCAACTTGACTTTTTGAACAAAAATATAACATCTTCTAGTCACTGATGGAATAAGATGATGAAAAGCTCTTAACTCAAAACATAGCTTATTTATCATGTCTCAACATTATCTATCATTTATTATCCTTACAAATTTCTGTGACAGACTTCATCCTTCCTGAATCCAGAGTTGCAATGAATGCCATCTATTTCACTCTTTAAAAATTCAAATATATTCCCCGGGCTATCTATACAACTCTTATAAACTTCATCAGCACTTGATACCAAAGTAACTCTTTCTGTCTTTGCAACATGCTTGCTACTTATGCCATTTATTTCAATTATGATACAATAGACGCAGCTTTCCAAAAGCTGAGTAGAAATCTGAACCCAAATTTCCCAGTAGTCCAACTCTCTATTACTGAGTCATGATGAATAATCACTTAATGCATTGACTCCAATCTAGTAACTGGTTTGCTTCCATAATAGGGGATCCACACACATAGAATAGAGTTATTTGAACGTGAGCAGTGATTAGTATGGGTAAGAACAAGCTTCCTGGTGCAAAAGTCCGTACTGGATGAAGGAGAAACTGAGCACTTCACATATGAATTAATATGGCTCCATAGCGGTGCAGCACATGTAGATTTGCTTATGAATACAACAAAGTTAAATGTGATCCTCTATATTCTTACCAATGACTACTCACGATACTGTAACATAGCAGAGGTGGGATGCGGGTGGTGCTGTGGTCTAAACCACTGAGCCTCTTCGAATCCCATTGCTCTGTCCCAGCTCCTGCCAACCTATCAGTTCGAAAGCATGCCAGTGCAAGTAGATAAATAGGTAGTGCTGCAGCGGGAAGGTAAATGGTGTTTCCGTGCACTCTGGCTTCTGTCACAGTTATCTGTTGTGCCAGAAGCGGTTTAGTCATGCTGCCCACATGACCTGGAAAGATGTCTGTGAACAAACACCGGCTCCCTCGGCCTGAAAGTGAGATGAGCTCCACAACCCCATAGTCTCCATTGACTGGACTGAACCGTCCAGGGGTCCTTTACCTTTACCTTAACCCTTCATCTGCTTGCTGCAGTCTGAGATGAGCTCTCCAGATAGTGTTTTCACCAACATCTGCCAGTTTCTCTTAGGTCCATCATGAGACGTCCACCAGCTTCTAACCATAGATACCAACAGCCTTCAAGCAAGCAAACTTGCCTTATTATCGCTCCCTAGCATCCCACTGCCAGAGGATTGCCTCCTTCCATTCACCAGTTTGCCTCCTCCAAGTGGAAGAAACCTGGGCAGTGCTGAATGTCACATCCATTGCCAAGTGTGTCCTGCTGGAAACAGAAAAGGGCTTTCCCCTTGGCCTGCCTGTATATCCACTCAGCTGCCAGGTGCTTTTGTGACATCACAAGAAACCCACAGCCAATGGCAACACCTGGAGAGGCATCATCTTCATTGCTTTGAGCCTCACAATAGCGGGTGTACCTTTTGGTTATTGTGTGCTTGTTTATTCAGGACACGGGTGGCACTGTGGACTAAACCACTGAGCCTCTTTGGCTTGCCGATTGGAAGGTAAGCAGTTCGAATCCCCGTGATGAGGTGAGCTCCCATTGCTCTATCCCAGCTCCTGCCAACAGAGCAGTTCAAAAGCACGCCAGTGCAATTAGTTAAAGAGGTACCGATGCGGTGTGATGATAAACGGCATTTCTGTGCGCTCTGGTTTCTGTCATGGTGTTCCGTTTTGCCAGAAACAGTTTAGCCATGCTGGCCACATGACTCCAAAAGCTGTCTGTGGACAAATGCCAGCTCCCTTGTCCTGAAGCAGGATGAGTACCGCGACCCCATAGTCGCCTTTGACTGAGCCTAACTGTCCAGGGGTCCTTTACCTTTTACCCATAGCAGTATCATATCCATGTTCCATCCCATGGATGGAAATGTCAATCAAGATACTCAAATAAGTCACAACACGGTGGTTTTCCTTCCTGCAAAACAATGTATTGTTGACATGATTGTGACCCAGTACAGGCAAGTGGAAAAGTTTGACTGAGTTGTCAAAGTTAACTAAAATATGTTAACATTTTATGACACTCATTCTAATGTGTGGCAAAGGTTGCAAGCTGTATGAAGTATTCGGGTTTCTCGACACTTAGCTCTTGGTAAATGGGTAATGGCCCAGTGCAGACAACCTGCTTACCAAATGGAAAGGTTTTCTACCATAGTTTTGCTTGACTATCTCAACTTTTTTTTTCTGCTGCACACTCTAAAGTTAATGCAATCTATTGTAAAGGAGGTTCATGTCCAATATTTAATATTAGAGAGTTTGAAATTAGGAAATGCCATTTAAAAAGCTTATTGAATCAGAATAAAGTGGTACCTCTGGTTACGTACTTAATTCATTCCAGAGGTCTGTTCTTAACCTGACACTGTTCTTAACCTGAAGCACCACTTTAGCTAATGGGGCCTCCCGCTGCTGCCGCGCCATCACAGCATGATTTCTGTTCTCATCCTGAAGCAAAGTTCTTAACCTGAGGTAATATTTCTGGGTTAGCGGAGTCTGTAACCTGAAGCATATGTAACCTGAAGTGTATGTAACCCGAGGTACCACTGTAGAGGTCTTTGTAACCAAGACATGGTCCAAATGCAGACTACTAAAAAATAAACAGGTGCAAAGAAATTAGCTTTTTGTGACTGAGGTGATACTAAATTTCTTCAGCTAGAACGAGTACAATGTGCAGAGATTATTTGTTTTAGGAAAAAGGAAACTAATGATAAAATAAAATGTCAGCCACGGTTGCAAAACAAATTTTGGGTGATCTCTAACATTAGTCATACATTAAATCAATGGACTTAAATGCATTGATTTCAAGAGGTCTATTCTGAGCACAACTAATATTGCAAATTATTAAATTACAACATTTAATAAAGGACTCAAACGCCAGAATTTTCTTTGATATGCTATAAATGGTAAAAGTATTGCCTGATAAAAGGTTATCTTGAAACTTGCTCTCTTTTATGAATACCTAATAAAAATGTAGAATGAAAATCCACAAAATGAACCCAGTTTGTTTCATGCCCCAGAGGCACTGAAGTTTATTTTTCAACAAGATGTTTTTTTACAAAAATGTTCTGATCCTAATTTTAAGTCGGCTTCTAATGTATCTACTACGGAGATAGCAGCATTGATTATACCAGTTAATTCAAAAGTAAATGCAAAGAAACATCAGGCTAAATTCTATTTGATTTGCGCTTTCAATATACGGCAGGCTGCGCTTTCTTGCTTGATTCCTACAAATGTGTTTGCTCTGAGTGCCAGGCAGAGATTATAGAAGTCTCTCTTTCTTTACGTGTTTATTCAGTTCTCCATCCGGTGACTTGAGGGATTACTGCATTATTAAAGGGAAAATATGTGGTTAATGCTTTATTGCTAGGTCATAGATATTTGAGAGATGTTCTTGCTCTAGTTAAAAACAGCATTGTACAAAATAAAAGTAAGATTATAACTATAGTACGTACTGTTAGCTGCAATCCATTGTCCATTCTGTCCAAGAGTTTTTGGACTGAACAGCTGGGGACGAAGTCCGGGGGAATGGTTATATAGCTAATGTGAAGTTGGAGACCATATAACATCCTGCGTTTCTGCTATCTGCTTCAACATAAAGCTATAGCACCGATAAGGAACTTTTTGTGGCTGAGGGCTGCATTCTCTCACAGGCATCATTTCAGAGCTGGTATTCACAAGTCAGTGGAGGGACATGGCCAGAGGCAAAAACTGGGGGAGCAATCGGCAAGCAGCTATCACTGGGCTAACAGTCACATACAGCTAGACACTGAATTGTGCCAGAAACTACTGTTAGGTCCATTATGAGACATCCGCCAGCTTCCAACCATGGATACCAGCAACCTCCCTAGCATCCCATTGCCAGAGGATTGCCTCCTTCCATTCACCACTTTGCCTCCGTCAAGTAGCAGAAACCTGGGCAGTGCTGAATGTCACATCCATTGCCAGGTGTGTCCTGCTGGAAACAGAAAAGGGCTTTCCCCTTGGCCTGCCTTTATATCCACTCAGTTGCCAAGTGCTTTGTGACATCACAAGAAACCTATAGCCAATGGCAACCACTGAGGAGGCATCATCTTCATTGCTTTGAGCCGCACAATGGTGGGTGGACCTATCAGTGATTGTGTGCTTGTTTATTTGGGACACGGGTGGAGCTGTGGTCTAAACCACTGAGCCTCTTTGGCTTGACAATCAGAAGGTCGGTTTGAATCCCCGTGACAAGGTGAGCTCCCGTTGCTCTGTCCCAGCTTCTGCCATCCTAGCAGTTCGAAAGCACACCAGTGCAAGTAGATAAAGAGGTACCACTGCAGTTGGAAGGTAAATGGCGTTTCCATGAGCTCTGGCTTTCGTCACAGTGTTCAGTTGCACCAGAAGTGGTTTAGTCATACTGGCCACATGACCTGGAAAGCTGTCTGCAGACAAACGCCAGTTCCCTTGGCCTGAAGTGAGATGTACCCCATAGTCACCTTTGACTGGACTTAACCATCCAGGGGTCCTTTACCTAGACATTGAATTGCATCTGACATTGTACTAGCTGAAGGCAAGCTTACCCAGCAGATCTTGCAGGTCATATGAGGCTGCAGTGGGAGGAGGAAATTGCCCCCAAATGAGCACCCAATTTTAAGCAATCTCCACTCCTCCAGTGCAGCCCCATATGACACAGCCTAGAGTGTTTGGAGGTTACCCTGATATTTTCAACACGGTATGGGGGGTGTAAAAGGAAAGAAAGATCAGTTGCAGGAGATTGCCCATGCAATGTTGTATTCAATCAATTCTATTTTAGGTTTTCTAGGGTGGTGGTTTTATTTTTTGCAGTACTGTATTAACTTGAAAACTAATAGCAAACTGGATCAATCCAGGTTAATCGTGTATTTAGTCAAGTAAATCAAACTGGATTATTATTAAATGATAAATTAGATACATACCAATCAAGAGTAGAATGTGGGGAAATAAGTGTCTCTTTCCTTTTCTAACCAGCTTTTTATATTAAGAAAGAGACATTCATGCTCTCAGAAATGGAAACTAGCTGTGCAATTCTGACCCTGAGATTGCACTGGGGATAATAGTTTTTCCACTTTGGTGCAAAGTGGGGAATGATTGATTGTTTTATTTGAAAAAATCAATTCTGTTATTGGAGAATAGAGAAAAACAAAATAGTTGTTTGGCTTAGTTGTTCAATAATGACACAGAAAGCTGAAAAAGTTTCTGCAAAGGAAATAATTACCTCAAGCAGGTTTCATTAGCTGTGGAGCAAATTCCAATGTCAGAGGTCAATACTATCTTGCTTGTTGACTGCTATTTGTCAATTTGTTCTCACAACAGGTAGCAGGAGAAAGCAAAATGCAGCAGTTAGCATTGGTTAAGTAGTAAAATATTTCTCTGCTCGCAAGATTTATTGAATGGTCAGATTCTGATCCAAGTTAATATGTTAGCTGTGCTCCATGTGGATCTATCTTAGAAATAGTTTAGAAGCCTGAGTTGGTGCATGTTGAAACACATGGCACCTATTTTGTGTCGGCTAAAAGTAAAGGTAAAGGGACCCCTGACCGTTAGGTCCAGTCACGGATGACTCTGGGGTTGTGGCGCTCATCTCGCTTTATTGGCCAAGGGAGCCGGCGTACAGCTTTCGGGTCATGTGGCCAGCATGACTAAGCTGCTTCTGGCGAACCAGAGCAGCACATGGAAACGCCGTTTACCTTCCCACCAGAGCGGTACCTATTTATCTACTTGCACTTTTTGGGGTGCTTTCAGACTGCTAGGTTGGCAGGAGCTGGGACCCAGCAATGAGAGCTCACCCCGTCATGGGGATTCAAACCACCAATCTTCTGACTGGCAAGCCTTAGGCTCTGTGGTTTAGACCACAGTGCCACCCATGTCTGTGTCAGCTAAATTGCTTGCCAATTCATTTCCAAGCCCATGTAGTGGTTACAATTATAACAATTGGAACCAAGCTAGTTGAAGAATTGCCTGCATCCATATGAGCCTGTCCTGGCCCTAAGATCAGCCTTTGAGGTCCTACTCACATGCCTGCCAACAAAAAATATTAGACTCATAGGCAAAACATAGAAATATAGTCAGAAGCTTTATACTGTACTGGACCATGTGTTCCTATAGTTCTGTACTGTTGACACTGACTAGCACTGACTGGCTCTCCAGGGTTTCATACAGAGAATATTCCCAGCCTAACATGAACTGAACTTTGGACCTTTTGCAAGCAAAGCAGATGCTCTTCCAATGAACCACAGCCATGCATTCCCTAACCATATCTCCAGTAAAAAGCACCAATGGGAAAACCTATGTTGCTACCTGAGAGCTGCTGCCAGACATATTTTTACAAAATATTGGGCTACATGAGCAGATTGTCTGGTTGTGTATAAATGATTTCTGTGAAACACTGGGAAGCTTATTTTATTTTATTTTATTTTTTACAGTAACCCCAAACTATGCATGTGTGAGCAGAACCTAAATTTCGCAGACAAGTCAACCAAAGGTATAGAGTCTTATGTTCTTAATACGTAAGTACTGTATCATAACCTATCATAAATTAAATGGTTCCGCAAGAGCTGTCAGTGATCTGGCTATTTCAAAACGCATGTGGACGTAAATTGCAAAAAGACAAATTAAGCTTAAGTACTTAACAGATATAAGTATGTGATCAAAGACCAGCAAAATCACTCAGTAGCTGAGTGATATTTTTGATGTAAACTTCAATTTGCAGACAAAAACTATGCAATTATGTTCCATAAGAAAGGGACACTGTCCAATTTCGCTTTCATTTGGTTTAGTTCAACTAACATTGTTCTGATATCCATTGCTGTCAATTATACATCCTAGGCAAAGATGCTGAAACAATTTGCATAGTTTAAATTGCTAGATATTTTGAATCCATTTTCTCATGGCACACTACACTAAATGTGCAATAATCGTTCCTCTGTAATATCTAGCATTTTATTTTTCATGGGGCGCATGTTATAAATATGCCATTACTTATTATTTTTTAAGGCAATGGGCTTTTTTTGCCTTTGTTATGGAACAAACAGTGTTTTCTGTATGACCCATAAGCAAACAATGAAAAGGCTAGCCTTGGGGGAAAGGCAAACAACTAATGTGTTCTAAGCAGTGCCCAAAGTTACTATTAGACAAAGCAGACCACAGTGTGTGACACCCACATTCTCAAGGGCACCATTCATTCTGTCTGCTCCCTACACACTGAACTGCTAAAAAATTAAGGGTTTATTGAGCAGCATTTGCAGTGGAAAGAATGAGATAATTCTAGGAAATCCTTTTAAAAATCTGCACATCGAAACAGTCACAAGGCAAACTGAGGACTTGGCTTCACTTTTTTCTTGTTTTAATTTACAAGAGACTGTTTTCTACCTGAACTACTTCATTTTCTACTATTAGGGGTTTTCCTCAGACAGCTGATATTCCCTCTCCCAATTGATTTTATTTTAACAATAAAGTAAAAGTCAATGAAATGGTAGAGTAGTTAATTCTTCACATTTCATAAACAGAGTAAGGTGTCACAGGATGAGATCAGATAAGTGTGAGGCCAGGTTCCACTTTATATTTACCAAACTAAAGGTCTACAATACCCTGTACAGAAAATGTACAACAATGCAGACTTTAAAAAAGAACTTTCCCCATTCAGCTTACAGGTTTCTGGCACTAAGATTTGTGATTGGAAACCAACCACAATTTCCTGTGGTGTCTGAACTGAAAAATGTCTCTTCTTTGGCTAGTGAGAACAAGTCCAGACAAAATTTTGTTTTCAGATCCTGGTTTGTTGTCATGCCATAGTTTGAATAAACCACAGTTCAGACATTACAAGAAACTGTGGTTGGTTTAAAACTGGAAACAGAAACTTTCAGTTTGAAAGAGGAGCTGACATGTTGGGGGGTGATCAAGTCCAAGTCTTGTACCAACTCATTCTTATAGTGAGAACCAAATTATTTTTTAAAAATAAAAAATACTGTTTTTATTTATTTTCATGGCACAGAAGATAAATTTTGAGAAAACAATTGTTACAATAGCAAACAACAAGTTACTTGTCCTGATAAAATTACAGACTTTTATCATGCCATGTGTTAAAGTTTCATTTGATTACTCTAAGAGATCACGCCACATTTTCCCATGACTGCTGGGTGGATTCCTGCCACAGTCCAAACAATTTATGTATTCAATAAACTTTTGCCATATTTTATAAAAGGAATATGGATTGTGTTTGCCCTTTACCACTCTCACCTGGCTTGTTAGTTTCTCAGCCAATGCTACTGACCATACCCTGTTATACCAAGAATCAATGTTCAAACCATCACCAGTTTTCCAACATCTGAAAATCTCCCTTTGAGCAGCAGCCAATAGAAATCTAAGAGGTCATCTTTAGGATAAGAACCAAATTATGTTTGATCCTGACCCAATGACTAGTACACAAATAAAAACCTGGACTTGAGAACTGGGTTATATACATGTATGTCGGTAATGTGGAAATCCCTGATTTTCCATTCATTTGTTTGAAGTACAGCCTGGAAATGTGGCAGTAATCAGATTCTATTATACATTCTTAAACTTATACATTACACACAGGCAATTCTATTCAACTTGTATATACAACTGAAAGCCTTTTGAGTTTTGGTCCCTGTTAGGAAAAGTCCTATAGAAGGAAATACAACTAATAAGCTTTTCCTGAGAACTGATGATGTACAGGACGTCAATGCAAATTACAAAAGAGGCATCTTAAATAATATATTTGATTTTGTTCTCAAGGAAGCTTGCTCTTTATATAGAGTAAAGAACTGTTAACACTCCCAGAATAAGCTTTAAGCTGCATTTGCGTATTCTGTCAAAAATACCTAATAACTGTAAAAAAATAACAATGTTTCTGGCATATTTGATCTCAGCTTCACCTGACATGCAACAATTTCTGGTAAAATTCAACAAAAATGTATTGAAAAGAAATGTGCTGTGCAGAAGGATTTT